AAACATATTTCAAAATGGTCAAAATAATAACGGGTTTTATAAGTAGTACTAAATCTAGCAACATTCTGCAAGTTAAAGCACTGGGATTCTAAGGATATTAATGTCAATGTTTGAACGTATTCAAAACTGGAGAGTCATTTGCATATTTTTTAAGGAGACATCCCTTTGTAGTAATACGGTTTTTGTTCACCATATTTGTGTAATTAACTCAGCCATCTTTGGAGAATAACATCCAAAAGCAGGAACATAGCTAATTAAAACAAGGAACAGGGACTCTGTCTACTTTAATATTTTGGGAAGTCAATTTAATATTTAATGACCAATACTAAGAAACTTATTCAAAGACATATGTATATGTTGTTCAACAATAAGCACCATAGGCTTCATTTTCTATTACGTTTGAGCTAACCTAATACTTCAAAAAGGTAATACTGGATAATCAATGATTTTATCAATGTGCCCACAGCACTCTGTCCTCATGTTGGCCATAAGTTTATAATCTACAGCAAAGAAATGATCTGTATTTTCCATTCAAAAAGGATTAAAATCTCTATATTTTAAAATTCTGGTGATTAGGGGAAATGATCATAGTCAATTTATTGTACAATTCCCAAGATAAATATCTGATGATGTCATTTCTAGTTTCAGTTATCCAATAGTTATAAAAATTTGATACACTTCTCCTTTTCTAAAAAAATGAAGAAAAGTACATCTACTTTAGCCACCTAATAGGATCTCTGTTACAATCAAACGGAAATTTTCTTTGAAATCTAAAAGGCAGATCCCATCATTATCATTTAGGCTACAGAACACAAGCATAGCTCTACAAGTAATATAACTAAGAATTTGCCACTTGACCTCATGTAAAAAAAAATAATAAAATCTAAATAAATAGGAATGATCAACAAAAGAACCATTAAATCTACTTCCAGGTTGTCATTTATTCATTCCTATGAACAAGTGTGCAAACTCAGTAAGACAGAAAAACACATAACTTTAAAATAAGCTCATCAATATTCCAAATGCTCACCTCTATTTTTATTACCTTTTCTAAATAAGTGCAAAGATAGGGAAATTTTGGCTTTAATTTAGATGCAGAAATTAGTGGAAGAACAGCAGAAAAATCAGTTGCCTACCCAAGATTAGCAATTACCTTATTTTAAACAATTTAAAACTCTATAATCTCTACAACAAAACTCAAACTAATCAGAGATTAATAACTGACAGAGAAACAGTACATTAGATTATTTGAATGAGGATGTGACTATATCGTTAAGAGCCATTCTAAAGCTTATTATAGTTTTTTTAAAAAATAAACTACATAGACATATGTGTACAAAACTCAAGATTTGTTAATTTTCTAGAGATATTAAAATATCACCTAAGCAGGAGTCAAACATCCTCTCCAGAAATACAAAATTAAAATAATCCTACCAATAAGCCTTTCCCACATTATTAAAAGCATCTACTTTTCTAATCTTTTCTGAATTGAAAGTCTTTAGTAAGCAATCATGTTAAATCCATTAAACTCCTATAAAAATCCCAACCTAGGCCAGCCATTCACTGTTATTCTAATCCTCATTTAACTTCATATACTCTTTATTGTGTAGTCAATAGGTATCATATTTTTTTCTGCCTATATGAGAAGGATTACTAAGCTCTGCTGTGTCAATAAGTAACGGAAGCATACAGCAACCAGTGGACTAAATTAGAAACTCGTGTTATGATTATCTCATTAGAATAAAACTTTTAGCAGAAGAATAATTTATTTTAAAACAAGTAGACTTCAGCTGAAAATATGAGAAACCAGGTGGTTTTCCCATCTTTTCTGGAATACTTCATACGTTTTTCTCATATAGACTGTTGATATAAAAATGATGCAGTTAACCAAATGGAATCTAATATCTTCATCAGTGTCTGAAATATGTGGCTACTGGTTTTTGTTTGATCACTGCTATGCAACAGAAATTACCTTAATAATAATCATTGTTTACCTAAAATATTTCATTATGCTGTGCACAGTGTTCTCAGCAACTTAACAATACGTAGAATGTTAAGTATATTGGAGGAGGAAGATTTTTAATGGAGTAAAAAATAACTAGATATTAAGTAAATGATGAAAAGTTGAGGCTTAAATAACAAGTGCTGTCATTCTCCAGAGCAAGTGTTTTGTAAACCATTTACATTTAGAATTACCTGGCACATCTGTGAAAAAAAAAAGCCTGATTCCCACTGCAGACCTATTGAATTAGTCTTTGGTGATGAGGCCCTGCATTTTAACAATCACTCCAAGTGATTCTAATCTCATTTAAGCTTGAAAACCATTGCTCTAGGTCTAGAAGTATAATGAAAATGCCATATTTTATAGTTAGAATGCTCAAAATGGAAACATGTTCCTATAGAGAATGTTAACAAATGCTAAAATTTCTCCTGAAGTTAAAAGTTTTTCATATTTTATTACCTCTGTGGCATTACTCTAAGCCCTGAATAAGGGCATGTATCTTTCTGTGATTAATTAATTAAGTAACTGGTTGATTGGTTGATTGACTCATTTGTTCATCTGTTTAACAAGTTATTGGGTATCAATTACGAGTTTGGGATTTCTCATGTGGATCTTTTCTTGTGATTGATAAGACAGTAATTAAAAGGTTTCAAAGACATTCCTCACAATGTCTTCTACTTGAAAGATGTTCAAGAGTTCACCATTAGAATTGTTGAGTAAATGAGAGAATGAATGCATTCATAAATCCTTTTTGCATCATAAAAAATTACTGTGCATCTTGCAAATAAGTCAAATAATGATTTCCCTAATTACTAACTCTTTGTAATGAAGCAGAGGTATGACTAAAAAACTCAAGTCTTTTCTAGTATTTATACATTTTAATAATTTCTTAAAATCATCGCTGAAATTTTAATAATTTCTTAAAATCATTCCTGCTTGGAAATTACAGAAAGGCATCTCAAGGTCACAAAATAGAATTTTAAAAGCCACACTTCAGTGAATGATATTTAAGAGATCTGCTCCTTTTCAGAGAAAATCATGAAGTCTGAATTTTAGAGTACAGAAAATACTTGCCTACAAAGTCTTGTAAAAGATACCCAATAAAAAAGAATAATATGAAAATTAATATAAAGCTCTTGTGTATGTGATATATATACATATATACAATATGTTTTATATATAATTTTTAAAATGTTTCAATAGCTTGTGGCTGGCGTTAAAAGCAAGAAAATGATGTAATGGTCCTTCAAATGTTCTAATCTTAGAGATTGTCTTGTGAAACCTTCTAATTTCATATGTGAAGATTATGAAGCCTAGAGAATATGAGAAGCCTAGAGAATATGAGAATACTGACCTGAATTTTCTCATTTAATTAGTAACATCACAAGCACTAAATCTTGGATTCCTGTTTTCCAATTTAACATTTTTTTGTAGCTTCACATTGTGTGCTGTAAATATGTCAGCTCTTCTAAGCAATTATATAAGACCAGAAAGCTGAAAATCTATAGTATTTTAAATTGCCTTATTGTCTAACAAGTTGTAGTAAAAAGAGAAAGAAGTGGCAAGAAGAATTGGCCAATATTTTAATTGACTCAGAAAATTTGCACCTCAGAAGAAACACAAAATTCAAAGAGATACTTCAGAATTCCATGAGGAAAAAATAGAGTACAGACTTAAACTCCAAATAACCAAACATTTGGCCAATTAGTAAATGAGTGTGTGCTTTTATTGCCATGTCTTTTAGACTTCAATATGTGCTGCAATTAGCATGTGAAGAAATAACCTGAAGATAGGATTGTCTAAAATCACAAGCGCAGAGGAGAAACATTTGCTTCTTAGCTTCACGCTGCAATATCCTGACAGGGTGTTGTAGCTGTAACACTGGATCAGATCCTGTTAACAGGAATAAGACAGGAAGCTGCACTATCATCAGGCATTTAAGTAAGCAGAGTTCAGGTCAAAGAGAAATGACAGTCGATGCAATAGAAGCCATTTGTTCAGACCACAGCAAAATAAAACAGACAAAATCCACGAGAGGTAGCTCCTCACAAAAGAAAAACAAAACCAGAAGACAAAAGTCTTCAATTAAGCACTACAAAATATAACTAATGACAGATTACCTAAAATTGTGAGAGGACTAGTTTAGAAAAGTTTTGACCAGTTTTCTGAATATCACTTCCTATTAATAATTACTTCATTAGAGTTCATTAAGAGTTCAGACTGCCTATTTGGTTCCCATTAATCAATCAACGATTATGCATCAAAAACCCAGGTTGCTTTAGAAAGGTCAGGGGAATAAAATTGCTGTACATAATAAGCATCAAATAATATAGAATATTTAAAATTTCTTAAATTTCCTTCAAATTCATCTGCAAACAGCATTAGTTACAATGAGCAAGTACAATTTCGTAACGACAAACCACTCTAAAATCCAGGTGTATTAGGTGTATCTCTCTAGCAAGAACAAGTTATTTCATATCTCTTCCCCTGAACTGATTTCTCCATAAAATGGGATTAAAGATAGCATCTTCCTCATAAGATTGTTTTGAGGATGAAATGTGTGACGCTTATGTCTGGTATATGGTTGTAAATATGCTGAAATCTGAGGTCCATTTTAACGCATGCAACAAAAGTTAATAAATAAGAAACTGGGGCTTAGTAACTAAATTCCTGCTAAACTGACTAGCAATTATTAGAGTCAATTTATGTTCATATAAAGCCTTATTTTTTTCCACTTTCTTAGTAATTAATACATGTAGAACTTCTGAGAACTTACTATTGCCTCATCCTAACCAGGGAAAAGAGGAAAATACCATTTTGTTCTTTAGGTGGGTTTAATGCAGGTTTATAACTTCAATATACATTCAATGTTGCCACTTTTTCTTACATCTATAGTTTACCAAATCCATTAATTTACAGCCATGCCGAAACTCTGAACAACGACCTCAAAATAAGACTTATAACTATAATTTCTTTTTCATGGAGCAACAGCAAAGCATATGCATCTGACTATCCCTGACTTTAGGACTTAGAACATCATGCAAATGCCTATTAAAAAACTTTTATGAAAGCACACCACACAGCCAAACCTGCCTTGCTATTTTAATCAAAACATTGTACAGCTTATGAGGAAACGTGTATTAATAGTTTTTTAATGTTTTATAGAGAGTAACTATTATAATATTTGTTATATCTTTATCAGAACAATTGTTTGGGGATTGATAAAATTTGTTACTCTTGATAGCAGCAGAAAAACAACAACAAACATTTAGGAAGCACTTATTTTGTGTTAGACATTCATCTAACTCTTTGCGGTAAGTGCAATTATCTCCATTTTAAAGACCAGGAAACTGAGGCATAGTGAAGTAACAGGCAATCTGAACCCAGAGTCCAAGCCGTTATCCACTATTCTACACATAGATATTGTGGCTTTTATAAACATTACATTCATCAAATACAGCCTACCTGTATTCTAATGAAATTCTCCAAACACAGAACCAAAATCTCTGCTTTGAATTTTGAAAAATATTTTTGCCATGGTAAGAGGCAAACGGAAAACACACTTTGAGAATTAAAATAGAGTTCATAAAGAAACTGACTAATCATGCCTACCTCAAGTCTGTCTGTCCGCATTAATTTCTGTGCAGCTGCTGCAGCAGCTGCAGGGACAGGGACGCCAGGATTCCCTGTAACCAACATTGGTGCAGTCGGCAAGATCTCTGCTGGAACCAGGCTTGGAGAAACAGGTCCCAGGTAGGGATTAAAGGCTGCTGATGCATTGGTGGCTAAGCTTGGTGCAACTGAAAACATTGGCTGAAAAATAAAAAGCAAAATTTAATAGGCAGGTCTCAATTCAAAGTTGATATCCTACATTATACGTGTCCTCCATTTATCCATCCATCCATAATCCATTCTTCCTTTCCTCCCTCCCTTTAATTCTTTATTTACTCTCAGGATAAGAATGTTTAATTAAATCAATGTTTTTCTAAAATATAATATGTAAAATATCTATTAATCCTCCACTGGGATTTTGAATCTTGGGGTTCTATAATACTTGTAATTTCTTTTTGGTAATAGATAAACTTCTATGTAGGAACTTCTTGTGATCACCTGTTCTCCATCTTTGTCCTGAGTCAATCCTGGAAACTTGTCTATGAAATAGATTTCATAATTGCTATGTCAGCTGTACTTGAAAGATGTTTACAACTGTTAATAGGTTGCAAGTGTCCTATTATCTGGAATAAATAAAGTAGAACTCTCAGGGGATAACAGAGTTTCACAGTCAATGTAAACTGTAAATAAATCTCATGGGGTATGTGAAAGGTGATGATGACACCATTCCTTTTGAGCACGTAAGATAAAGTGTTTGGCATATTTACTTGATGGGGAAATTATAAATATTCCACCAGCTATCACACCCTTCTGAGATATTCAACAACAAATTCATCACACCAGTGAGAAAGAAGTCTGAATTGTAAAGTCTGAAACAGAATACTATTAAAGAAATGCTACGTGATTGTTCAAGGAAATACATATAGGCAGTGTCAAATAAACTGCTACAACAAAGAATTTCTGCCATAAATGCTTTAATAGATATGTAAGGATTGTTTCTATTTGTTTATATGCAAATTTGCGTATCATAAAATATATCTGTTCTTGAACAGAATTAAAGAATTTACCTGAAATCTACTTTAACAATTTGCTTTTCCCGTTTTTAAATTACAACAGAACACAATTTCCCACTTATCAATGGGCCATTTTTATATTCTTAATTCAATAAAATTTCAATTCTTGAATTTTAATGCTTTGTGTAATAATGTTTATCTCTGAAACAAAAACTTGTGGACCAAATAGATGCTGTTCTTTCAGGAAATTTTTAACAATTTATATTCTTTAACCAGCAGTAAGTAATAGAATCATAGAACATTTTTCAGAACGAAAGAGACAACAGAATGTAGCTAATTCTTCCTTCTAATAGGAATAAGAAGTTAGATGATCCCACAGTATACAAACTATTCAAGAGAGCATTGGAGTAAAGCCTTCCGCAATATAAGGTATATATTACAAAAGTAATTCTCATAGCATAAAATAAATGTGTTAAAAATGAATATAAATCTACTCTGGCCCTGATTTGTCCTATATTTAGAAGAATAAAATGGATTTCAAGTATTCCCTTTTTCCTAGGGCAGGAATGGTTTTCATCTATGAGTGATTTGGCCTCGGGGTACAGTCGGCAACGTTTGGAGACATTTTTGGTTGCCAGAGCTCTTGCATCTAATGGATACTGCTAAGTGTCCTACAACATACAAGACAGCTCCTCATGACAAAGAATTATCCAGCTCCAAAAGTCAATAGTGCCAATGCTGAGAATACTTGTCCTAGGGAATACACTCTTCTCTTGACTTTACAAATTGTGTTGGGACAAAATCTTTGGGTTTAGCATACACATTTTTACTAAGAAAATGTGAAAAATAGAATATTTAATACATATTTTGATTCATGGGGAAGAAGAAGCAATATACCATCGATTACACTATTTTCAAGTTAAAATAACTATGCCTCTAGCATGTTGGTTTGAATGGCATAGTTAGCTGCTCTGCCAGGTCATTGGCCTTGCCTGATGCAGTGGACTAAATTAATACCCAATCCCCAACCACATCCCAGCTGAAAGCAGCTACCCCCAGACAAGAAACTATCTGTGAATTCCGAATATTAATAATCAATAACTTGTCCAAAACTAGGGCTCAGGGCAGTCTCTGTCCACCAACAGTTCCTTGACCAGCAGCTGATTTAATACTGTTCCACTGTCTGGTGGCAGAGGACAAGGGTTGATTGTACAGTGACTGAATATATGTTGAACTCAAATTTCTATTCGAGAATATTCAGATTAAATTTGTACTTTATAATACATTGTCTGATAGTATATAAAAATCCAGCCAGATCAGCACTCTAATTTATATATTAGATATTCATGAATTATAAGAAATTTACCATAGAAGACTAAAAGACTAGTTTAGCATGTGGACAACAGAAGCCAGTCAATATCATTCCCCTTTGCATTTCTTTGCTGTGAATCAACAATGCATTTCCAAATAGTGCATTTGTAATGTACACTTCAGAAAGTTATTGGGATGTTTATGTAACTGTACACAATCTACTATAATTACTTAAAGCAACACTCAAATTTACAAAGTTATTTGGAAGGAAGAAAAGCATTCTTATTTTAGTAAAATAAGACCAGTGGCCAGTAACATTCAGCTTTGTTAAGTCTTATAAAATACTATACATTGAAAATCTACAAATGCATATAATACAGCTGTTGTATATTACAGATAAAATAGTAATTTTATTTTATAAGAATATTGATCATATTAACTGGCAACAACCTACCCTATGAATTGTTTCTATAGAGTCTTCAGGAGAATTGATTTTCCACCTTCATTTAGCAGAGCAAATTCAAATGAGAAGAATTTTTGGGCACTCTCCCCAAATAAAGCCTGTAGTAGCTTTTAAAAATCTGAAACATCAACTATTCTGCAAGCATTATCTCAAATTGTTCCTCTTTAGATAAGTAGAGCTGTTTGCTGAACAGGCAGACAATCGATAACAATAGCTCTAGAATACTTTGTAACTTGATTCCAAAAGAAAATTAAAAAGTGCAGCATTCCTTTGTTTCTTTTAAATTTTTGTAAATTTGTTACATTGCTTTTTTTTTATTGCTTTTTCAAAGAGCACCTCGTTGTAGTTAGGTTGCTGCCAGCCCCATCAGAGAGTGCCCCGATCAGATTAGGAAAAGCACTTGACCTGCTCCACCGGCAGTTCTCTGTTGCAAAAGCTATCCTGCAGAGGGTTCAGCAGAATCTCAAAGACGGATATTAATGCAATCGTATTATCAAGTGGCATCCCATTTTCTCTGAAGTACCCACGGGATAACATGCAAACTATGTAATCAGTGTATTTTATACTGACTACATCCTTGTGATAATGTTTTATGGGTATCTTTGTTGCCGGAAGGCATAAGGACGTTTGGTTTATAATCACTTTTTGCCACTGAACACCCTCAGAAGAGAAAAACAAATTACAAACTTAAATAACTCTGGTGCCATTTATGGGTTAATCACTTGTTTGTTTTAAATGAGACATTCTGATTCCATTAAGGTAATCAGGCTTCATTATAAATTAAAGTGTTATTCAATTTCATACTATGACCCAGTTAACTGTGCAAACACGATTATTATTAGTAATTCCTTATTTATTGTGTGCCGGCATTGTGCTAAGTACTTTATCTGTGGTATTGTATTTAATCCTCATAACAGAAAAAGCGTAAGTTCCCTGAGAGATTTTTTTTTTCTTTTGCATTTTTTGAGGGATGAGGGGTTGGGGGAGATCTTTTTAGTTCCCTGCTAAACTCCCAGAACCCAGAACAATGCCTGGCATAGAGTAGGCACTCAATAAATACCTGTTGAATGAATGCTTGAGTGAATGAATGAATGAATGAGGGAATTACAGGCTTGTCAGGTGGGTATTAGCTCCATTTTGCAGATAAAAAATACCACTGTACTCATTATTAAACTGGAACTAACCGATGAGCACATATGTGCACAGAGAGAAGTAAAACTCAGGAGAAATCAAGCAGGGGGGAGAAGGGAGAGGGCAGGGTCACAAAACCTACCTAATGGGTACGATGAACACTATTTGGGTGACAGGCACATCTATAGCTGTGACTCAAGTATTACAAAAGCAATCCATGTAATCAAAAACATCTGTACTCCCTTAATATTTTGAAATAAAAATTTTTAAAAACCAAATAAATTAAAAAAAGAAAAAGGCTCACAAAGACTACATGTCCATAGTCACAAACGAGTGAATAGAAGGCCTAGAACTTGAACACAGGTGCGTCTGATTCCTAGTGGTTCTGAAACCAGTGGTTCTCACAAAATGGACCAGGTATCCATTTAAATCACCTGGACGACTTTTAAACCGTGAATGCCCTGGCCACGCCCTCACTCATCATAATCTCTGGGGAAAGACACCCAGGCGGCTGTATTTTTTGAAAGCTCCTGGGTGATTCCAGTTCCATATATTATGTGGTCTTCCACAGATACAGGTACACTTTTCTGATTCTACGTAAGGTCTCCAAGGACACATGCTCCCTTACGGCTCTCTTCTTTTGAACATGGTTTTCCTTCCACATTGAATGCTACCCCTGCCCAGCCTGTTTAATGCTTAATCGTGCTTCAAGAATTAGGATTCTTCCTCTTGAAATTTCCCCTGATTCATCCATATCTCCAACTATGAAGGGCTTTTCCTACCCTCTGTTCCCGCAGAACTCCTCATTGCTAGAATGCAGCATTTATCACCACTTGTGTTTACTTAAATATGTCCTCTCCTCTAACTAGACTGCAGGCTCTCAGAGGGCAATCTTGTTCATATTTTATCCTGCAATTGGCATTTATACAGGTCCTCTATAAACATTTGCTTAACACATATATGTAAATGGATTTGCCAATTGCTTTTCTTTGCCACAGAAACTAACCAGCAAATGCATTAAATATTTTCTAGGATACCGGAATGTTAAATAAAAATGATTAATGTTATTTTCTCTTTTTACCTGAAAATTTAATAGTTACTGTCTCTAGTATGCCTATCCAAAATTTTAAATTCTTCTTGTTTTGTGATTTTTTTATATTAAACTTTCTAAGTTTTAGCAATGTAGTTACCATGCTGTAATAGTGCAAATGTCATAGGGGCTGTCACTTACTTTAAAACACTGTATGAAACAGTGTTTGTTTCGCAAAAAACGTTTGAGATTTTTAATAAAATAGAGGGAGTATATATAACAAAATAATATGTAACCAGTATCAGCTGGAATTCATAGAATACAAATTTTAAAAGTCATATTTTTCTAGATATTACGGGAGTGTGAAGAAGTAAAAAAATAAAGCTTTTTAAAAGAAATTAACAGCACACAATCAAGATATGTGGCACTATGTTTCTGGGTAAACATAACCTTGTACCCAGAGCTATAACTAGTCTCAGTGAACTATTCTGAATATAAACAGTGCCAAAAGCTAACAGGAGTTATCAGCAAATTTATATTACAAAGCTATTTTTCTAAGAAAGCATTACTGGAATAAAACAACAAATGCTGTTATAAACTCTGCTCCTAGACTGACTTGTGACTGGAAAAATCAAATGAGTGGCTCCTTTACTCTTAGTGTCACTTTATCCTTCACTCTAGTTTTGTGGAAGTTATAAACATTTAAATAAAGAAGACTCGCTTCCAGCCCTCCTAGGAGAAAGGTATCAACCAAACACGGCCTAGTTCCTAAACTCCAGGGCCCGTCCTCTCAGGCCGATGGGAACAGGCAGTAAGGACAGCAAGATGACTGAGGGGACTGACATAGAAATGTTTCACCAGAAACACTCTGGGAATGAAGTGGCCTTGTTTCTTTACTAGTTGGATAAACTGGAAAGTAAAGCACTAAAAAACTATTTAAGAATTCTAGGTGTTCCTGGAAGTGTGACAAATGATGACTTCAAAGCATTCTGCATCTGACTGCCAACAAATGCTTGGAACATGACATGGCAGCAAAGTCAAGGTGACAGAAGCAGCAAACAAGCTCCCAAGACTTCAGCTAAAATCATTAACTTAGAATTTCGTGATCCCTAGGCTAGTTCAAATTCATGAAATGCATCGGGATTTCTACACAAGGGATGTGCCTTGTGGCAGCTAGGTGTGTGTACCTGCAGGATAGACGCCATCAGAAACTATGGGTAACCGACGGTAAGCTTTGGGATCACAGGTAAAGGCACATTAGGCCACTGAAACCCCAGAGCGCACATACAGCGTTTCATAATGGCTGCTTACACAGAGCTCTTTGAGGGCAATGAAAAGAGCCTGGAATCAACAGAATTTCTGAAGGACACTTTTCTGGGATGGACTGAAGAAATTCACCAGATGCCTGCAGGTGGTGAGCCACCACAAGATGCAGTATATCTTTGGTTAAATTATGTTGCAATTTCTCATTAGGTTACCTTTGCACCAGACAGTATGTGGCAAAGTAATCATGATAATAATGATAATAATAATAATAAAGTAGTATTTAGAGAATCCAGAAGTTTTATTTTTTTAATTTGAATAATTAAATACCATAGGTCTTCCATTTATCTTCAAAGAACATATGATAAAGAAAAAATGATTGTTTAACGTTTTTGTTAGTGGTTTAGAAATGATAGAATTAATGTCAATTTTTCTATAATTTATTACATTAACTTTTAGAAAGTAAACACAAATTATTTTCTACTAATTTTCTCATCTTTTGAAATAAGAATGATTATGTTTAAGTTACAATATTGTTAGGACCTTACGGATAATATATTTTAAATTTTTCACTATATGTTGAAGAAGGTCAGAAATCTTAAATGAATCAGCCACGGACCCAGAGTTGGTTGGTAGTGTGTCTACAAGTAGCATTTCCACAGCATGAATGTTGGATCCTGAACAGGCTGGATTAAAATCTTGACCTTGGTGCTCAGCTGTGTAATCTGAGCAATTTATTTAACACCTCTGAACCTCTGAATTTTTATCTCTAAATTTAGAATAATATTACCTACTTTATGGGATGATTATGAGATTTAATATACAAAAAGTGTTGAGTGCAGTAAATGCCCCTAAACTATTGTATTTGTCTCAAAAATGTCAAGTCCTATTTTTGATTCTTGGCATGGTGTATTTTAATATAGGCTAACAAAGTCTATGACAACCAAAACTCTCCTATAAATCCTGCATTCCCCAAATCTGCCTCGTGTCATGTTCTGAAGATCTTAAATTTCTAGACCCAGTCTCTCACAATTGATGAGAAGATGACAATCGAAACTCGGTTGCATAGTAACCCAAACTGAGTGGCATATTTCTTATTGTCAGCAGTACCCTCATCAAGCCCTTGACTGCCTTTGCTAATAGTACGTAAATGTGTATCCACCTCTGTGCCCCATTCGATGGCTGCAGCCTCTGTAACCCGGCTTGGGCTCCGGGTTCCTGGTTATGATTCCTTCGGACTCTGGAGTAGGTAAACTACCACGAACCTCTGCCTCTTGTTCTGGTGTCTTGGAAACTCCTTTCTTCATTTGTTCTTTCACTCATCAAGCAATTACTGATCTCTGCTATATGCCAGGCATAACACTAGATACTTCCAAATTTGCTTAGGCCTTGCTAGCCCCCTCTCCCCTTCCTGTCCTCCACCTAGGGTTTGGGGGCCAAGCCGGTTGGCTCTGGAGAAGTAGGATGCTGTCATCTGCTTGAGCAGTGTTGTCACTGCTCCGATGCTCCTGAAGCTCTGGCTCTGCTCATAGTATTACCGCCTTTGATATCACCACCACCTGAGTGGGATCCAAGTTAATGAATGCCATGTCTTCAAATGCTCTCATCTGTACTTGAGACCATTCTGAGTGGCAATCCTTTTCCATATTAGTCACCTGGCTGCTTCCAACCCTGTTATAATCCCTACTCGTAGGTCCACACGAATGTCCCCATAACCAGCTGATTATGACCACTCCATTTATTTCTAAATCTCCACGTCACTATCCTCATCAAAACAGTGCTGACTACAAACAGCATCAAAAATTCTCAGGTGGGGTTTTGAAGGCAAATTTCCTGGATTAAAGCCTTCTCTACACTCATTAAAATCTCAAATGCTTTAAAATTGAATAGTTAAAATGATTTCTATACTTACTACAAAGTCATCGCTCTGAATAGAGCATATTTTTACACTAGGATCTCAGGATGCCTTTTAATTCCACATTCAAATCTAGTCATATAAGGAAAAATTAACATAAAGCCTGAATGTGCTCACAACTAATAAAAATAATTACTGTATGTAAACAGAGAATTTTCCAACAAAAGCATCAAAAATTGTTCTGATGGTTTGAGAAATCTGTGATTTAGTGATTTCATAAACAAAAAATTTGTTACTGGTATTTCACAGAGCATAGGTATTGTTTATAGTGTTTCCCAGGATTGCACATATGATATGCTAGAATTGCCTTGAGAGTCAGACCAACTCAAGGACTAGGTCAGGAGACAGGCCAAGACCTCACAGTGAGGAATGTGCGGTCCTGCCCAGTACCACACTTGCTGATCTCAAAGGTGCTCCAGGTCACAGAGAGGGTACAGCCTGGCAGTACTGCACGCTTTAAATGTTTAAATGGAACAAGGTATCTTCACATCCAGGAGAGATCTTGTATCAACTAAGGGAGTAGCCATCCCAAGGATTTACCAGATGTTTGAAAGTATGTGAGGGCCAAGTGTAAAAAGACTTTTGTCCTATATTATGTACTACAGAGAATGATTATAGCTAAATTTTTTAACCAAATGGAAATCTTCACACTAACCCAATACAGACGTGAAATTAGTAGATTAGTAGATTATAATAATAATATTCTCTCAATTGCATACAATTAGTAATTGGCATCACTGCCAATTAATGTGGAGATCCCTCCCACCTTGAAATGCAATCCCTTTCTCTTTTTTGGAATGATTGTTGTATTAAGTTTTAAGAGAAAATAATAATTACATTGAGTTCAGGTGTTAAAATGTATTAGAAAAAAATTAGTTAGCACACATGCTACAGTTAGAAAACGAGAAAAATGTGGGTCTTCATATCCCCACGAATCCATAATATTGCATATAAGTTAGTGACATAAAGTTTTGACAGATATATTCTGATCATCACAAATTTTAACGTGTATTTAAATTTAAATATAGAATTATAGTATCATGATTAACAAAACACTTTTTTCAACCTAACACAAATTATTACAAATCTTTCACACTTTTATGAATAAATGTGAGTAAAGATTATTAAACTCATTTATGACACACACACACCAAAAAAAACCCAAACAATTAAATAGATATGTGTATTCCGAAACAAGTTACCCACATACACTGCTTAGCAAACATTAAATATCTATGAGCACCCACAGTTTATCAAATTTAGCTTTTTCTAAAAAAGCCCTTGAATTTTCTGCCTCCCCTAAATTAGTTCTCCTTTGATGAGACTTCCAAGTCTACAATATTGATTTACTACTGTCAGAAATTTTCTAGCATCTGTAACTATGCAATGTGAAAGCTGTTCCAGGATTTGATTGATACCTAACTTTGCTAGGAAATGCTAAAGCAACTGATACTGCTACAAACTTAATGAGTGAGTATTGAAAACATGCTTACCACGGGTTGTAATGGGGCACCAGGCATCATGGCATTGGCTAGTTGCATTTGCTGGGCCAGCATGGCCATGTTCTTCTGCTGAATCAAGTTATTGCGCCCATTTATCTCCAATTGCGTTTTTAAGTGTGGGGGTGGATGAAGGTATTTGCAGTTCTCCCTGGAGCAACGACCCTAAAGAAAAACAAAAGCAGCAAACATCATTTTAAAAAAGAATAAAATCAGCAAATTGTAAAAATAGTAATAATACAAACCAACCACTTGAATCTGTTAGAGGTTTTTCATACAATGCATTGTCCAGGTTATTTTATCATACATTTAGAACAAGTAATAAATTCACTCAAATGAATTATCAAAATGAGGGATTAAGACATTTGAAAAGTTTAAAAGCTTAAAGACGTTCACTTATTTTAATAATCTTAGCATTACTATTTCCAGATTCGAGTTTAAAAATCTACAAACTGCCAGGGGTATACTAAAACATAGGCTATCAAATAAAGAATATTAGGCTTATACCACAATATCTTCCTGGTTAACTTTAATGAATCCAAAAGAACATAAAGTTTTATCATCTACTTTTACTTATATTGAGTTCTTAGGAAACAAACTTAGAAGACTCAAGGCACATTGTATCTTCAGTAAAATACCTTTACAAGTATCTTACAACATAACAAAATTAAAATTACTACTAAGCTCTATAAGCCCATACATTAGAAATTTACAGTTGAAAAGAAGAAAATTCCCATGTGTTCCCACTGTACATAGAGATTAGTAAGTATAATGAAACGTTAGTGAAAAATGTAGCCTTTAAACTTTCAAAGCTAAATCTAGTCTTCATTTCCTAAAAACTATAAAATAGTAAGAAATGGACACATTTACCATCTAAAAATTCATACTATAAAATGGAGAAACAAAATAAGTTACTATAAAATAGTAAGTATGGATATACCTTCCTTTGGGATAATTCCTATCATCAAAAATATTTATTAGTCTACAATACACGATATTGTATGAGGGACTCTACCCCTATTATTTCAATATATCGTCAAGTCCTATTCATAGTAACAAATCGCACTGACTGCCTTAACAACTTCTTTCACCAGTAAATCTAATTAAAACTGTTTGCAAGAGAAAGATTAATTGAAGTCATCTTTAAAAATCAATTTAGAATAATTTGACTTTATATTGTAAATTGACTCAGAAAACTAATGTTTATTATAAAATCTGTCATTATTCTAATTTAAATAATCTATTTTGGCTGTCTGGGCTAGTATCACATGATATTGCCTGCCCCCCCCCCTTTTTTTTGAGATGGGGTATCACTCTTTCATAAGGCTAGTTAGAATGAAGTGGCACAATCATAGCTCAAAGCAGCCTTGAACTCCTGGATTCAAATGATCCTCCCACCACAGCCTCCCGAGTAGCTGGGACTATAGGTGCGTACCATCACACCCAGGTAATTTTTTTTAATTTTTTTGTAGAGACGGGGACTTGTTATGTTGCCCATCCAGGCTGATCTAGAACTCCTGGCCTCAGGCGATCCTTCTGCCTTAGCCTCCCATAATGCTGCAATTACAGGGATGAGCCACTGTGCCTGGCCTTGCTGAAATCAGGAGAGGACAGTGAAATCAGTAGAGGACAGTGACTGATAGCAAGGACCTCACAAGTCTCAAGACCTGGAATAGAGGTCTAGCTCCCTCATTCGTCAGCTTCATGAACTGCATAAGAAACTTCTTTCAGCCTCAGGCTCTTTATCCAGTACAGAATTGCTATAAAACCTACATTAGCCCCACTACAATTTAAATTGCATATCCAAGAAAAGAAAAACAAAATATTGGTATGCAGTTAATTTTTAAAATATTTGTTCGTTATGGCTATTGGTCCATTTGCAAAGTAACATTTACATACATACACATCTCTCTCTATACACACACACACACACACACACACACACACACTTATGACTTGTTCCATATCAAATCACCATGCTTGACACATGTTGGGATCCTGAGCATATTATTAGCTTAAAAAAGCATCTTGATGCAAAACAACCACAAAAACAACAGTCAGAATCACAAGATAAACCATGGAGTACGACTGGCCAAAATAAATAAGCTCCCAGATGACACATGTTCTCTTCTAGAGAAACCCTGCTTTTTCTGTACAAAGAACAACTTAGCTGTAAGAGAAGTTCTTGTTCTCAATATCTCCACATCATATTTCTTACTAAAACTGGATTTATTTAAGTGAAGATAAGTGGGGTCATATCCACCCCGAGGATAGAGTTACTGTCAATTCACTCCGGTCAGCCTCTATAGTTCCATAAATAGTACAGAGATAGCCCTGGGCCTTGAATTGGGCCTCGCCAACACTAACTCTGGTCTTCGTAAGCCCTTCAGTCCAGTATTTCCTCGAACGTACACCACCTAATCCCTCCTACCTATGAACACAGCTCAGATTGAAATAATGGAGAGAAACCATTTGTGTTTGCTATATATTCTGAGATGTATCAGTGCATCTCTTAACTTTTAAAAGAAGCTCAGACCTTTGGTCTTCATTCTGTATTTACTACATTTACTCAGGAAAAATGCCATTCTGCTACATTTTTTAACTGTATTACTTTTCTATGCCCAGCTTGATTTGATTGCACTGGGCTCTCACTTTCAAAAACCAGTGTTCCTAAGAATCAACTGACATTTTGTGAAAAAGTACAGACTACCAAGCCTCTCCCACAGGGAGTCAGTAGCCATAGGTCTGGAGGCCCAGGAATCTGCATTTTCACAAGTGTTCCAGCTGACTCTTATATAGCAGAAAACACTACAAAATACAATTGTGCAAAGCCACATGAATTTTTATTGATACAGGAGAAAAAAAATAACATCTACAAGTGATATTAGATAAAGTTTGTATCTTATGAAGCCCAAAATTTGTTTAATGCTGACTATACTGCTGAATAATTGTGGTCTGACAAATTAAAAGGTCAAGAATAAATTAACATCCTTCCGTTAGAAGTGCCTAAAACCAGCAGCAGCATACCTTCCTTTGAGAGTTCAGGTAAATATGACATTGGTACATTGCCAGCTTCTTCCATCTCTGAGTCCTCAGCACCACACCTCAATAAGCATTTGCAGAATGAACAACTCATTTCTTACTAAATGCTTCAAGATGAGTTCTACTCTAACTCGATTCTAGAGACAATAAAGACAATAGAATAAAAACTAAATGTAATATCAAATCTTAGTTCTGAGTTGTACTGACCTTATGATGCTTTTATTCAGAGGCCAGTAATTTAAAGACACGATAAAGCTAGCCCAATAAAAGGTAAGAAAGAAAAGCAGATTTGTAAGTTTCACCAGGGAGGTAATGAGATACGTAAAGTCAATGTTATTTAGCATCCTAAAATCTACACAATGACAATACATTCTAAAAGGCTAAAAACAGAAATTCATCAGTACCTAGAGCTAACATAATGCAGATTTTTATATAGGAAATATTAATACTATTCTAAATCATTTAGAGTTTTCGTCTCAAGATACATTAAGTTGGGCTCCTAGGATTGATGCAAAAATACAAATATAAAAGATGTTTTTATTCAGTTTTGATAGTATATTTAGTTCCACCTATTGCCATAACTGTACAATTTTATCGGACATATCTTGGTTCAAATAGCAGCATTGCTACCTACTTGCTGTGTGAACTTGTGTAAGTAAGTGAAATTCTCTGAGTGGCCATATCTTTTCTGTAGAATAGTAATGATAACATCTACCTCATTGGTGAAATATGAGGATTAGAAAGACTACAGGCCAACCTCATACATGGCACCTGGCATAATAGGCAGTCAATAAATGTTAATTATTTTCCTCTCTTAAGTTCTCAAATTAATAAAAAGCAGCAGTTGCTCAATTTTAGCAGCCTATCTTTTAAAAATGCTAAAAATAATATAGATAGCAAAACCTAGTCACGATGCATGTCAATCATCAATAATGTAACACAAACTTGGCCCTTAATCATCATTCTGTATTTGCCACAAACACCAAGAAAAAAATGCCATTCTGACACATTGCTTATAGTATTATGTTTCTGTGCTTTGCTTTGGTTGATTACATTGAAATCTTACTTTCGGAGAGCTGTCTAGCTGACTAGAAGGCCATTCTATAAAGCCTATACAGTAGATTCTGTAGGCTTCATTCAAGGAGGCTTTTTAATAGGATTAACTCAACACAGATTCCAAAGATATCATTGTAATACATATACTACATATTTTAAGGGAAAGGAGGAAATTCAATAAAACATTGGTCTACACTGAGATCATTTTTTCTAATAATTTTTCTATATGTTTAAATTAAAAGTAACCTATCCAAAAGAGGAGAAATTTCCCCCTTGTAGTCTTAAAAATCAGTGTGAGACTGACAACAGTCATACAAGAAATCAATTCATCAAGTTATCAACAATTTCTGAATTTAAATTATGAATTTAAAAATTTTGTCATTGGTTTTCAAATTGCCACAAATTTTGTGACTATAACAAAGGACAATATATGTTTAGATTAATTGTTTAATCCTCAAAATAAATTCCT